TACGAAAAAGTTTAATTTTCTTAAATTAATTTTAATCAAAGAAATGTAAATTTAATTTAATTTAAGAAGTTTAAATTAAATTGGATTCAGATGCTTATACAAATTCTTAAATTGGATTAAATTTTATTTATTTGATCGCTTAACTAACGATTTGAAGCTTAACTTGTGAAAAGCTTCGTTTCGATCGCTCTTATGTTGGAAACTATCGATGCCCCGACAATTTCGCTAAAAAAAGTGACAAATTTTCATAAAGAAATAATTCGCTATACGAATAATGGAATTACGAGACACCATATATATAGTATGAAAAAATTTATTTTTCTTAAATTCAAGAAATTTAAATTTAATTTAATTTAAGAAATTTAAATTCAATTTAATTTAGATCCCAAGGTAAATTCTTAAATTGAATTGAATTTCTTAAGTAAAATTTAATTAAAATTAAATCAAATTTAAATTATTTACCTCGAATTCGTACTTGTCAGTTTCGATCGTGAATATCGGGAATATCTCTTCAGTGATCAGAGCCGAAATAATTACCGACAAACAAATAACAAGCCGCAACACAACCGTTTACCGTTAAATCTCAAGGCATTTTCTCCTGTGCGCTCGCACACACAGAGCCTTTTCGCGCACGGATTGCGAGCGCGAGAATAGGAAATGCGGAGCACGAAGCGGAGAGTCGCTCGCTCGCGAGTTCGTTGTTCGAGAACGAGAATGAAGAGCGGTTACGGGAGAAATTGGAGTTTTGCAATTCGGTTTCTCTCTGCTACGTTGCGCTCGAATATGCACCGGATGCCACGTGCTCGAACGAGAACGCGCGTTTGTAAGAGTGCGGGAGATATTTATCGGCAAGAGGCCGACTGCTGGCGAACTGCCGCCCTTACAAGGCGTGTCGCGCCTACAAGCGGGCCCTACCGGGTGTGGAGTTTAGCGATTCCGTTATCACTTTCATCGGTAATCACTTACCGAGCACGGCTTCATGAGAGATCGGTTGTGTCGGCCGAACGATCGCCTCGGTCGCGGACAATCGGAGAGTCGACCGACGCTTTTAGCGATTGTTTCGCCCACGGTGGCTGCGATATCATTCGTATGAAATGTCCAAGTGCAGACTCCTACGCGGCAAACGTTGCTCTCGTACAATGGGACAATGGGGGGGGGGGGCGAAGGAGAGTTTCCAACGCGGTCATGTAGCGCCGGGGAATATGTATCCAGACGTATCGGATATTTGACAATCGTATTCCCTTTATTGAGATTGCAATTCCATCCGGACTTGCAAGGCAACCCGGCCGGCCGGCCGGCCGGCTGTCCGCGATTCTAAATGGACGCATTAATCTGCTATCCAATCGTCGTTCTAACGGATATCGCGGCGGACGACCTAATTACTTGCTCGTCCGCATGTTATATTAGTCCGCAACATCGGAGCCGCTCGCAATCGCGAGAATGGAAAGCGTGACTGCGCGCCGATAACAACGACGCGTTACGTTTCGTCAAAGGCACCTTTTACCTGGGGAGCACCTGCTTCTGCCTCGTCTTTCGAATTTCTTCACGAGTGCGATCTCCTCGGGTGCCATTTTCCTCGTCGAGAGCGAGGGAAATGTGCGAGATCGCGCGGCTTGGACGGCGCGTTTGCTTCGTGAGAAATATGCGAAAACTCTTTGCGTGCGATTAATCGCTTCGATTGAGGACTTATGTCGAGCGGCGCGTGAGGTCTGTCTATTGATCCGTGGCGACGAGAGAGAGATAGTATGGCTTGTATCAACAGTCATCGCTTGTAATTTGTCTTATGTGTATCTGAGATACGCGGATCTGAATTTCGTCATGTATTAGGCCTCGCCTACAATAGATGATTGAAGTTTTAAGAAACTGACTAATTGTGGTCGAATATTCTTCTTAACGTCGTCTGTGATTGATCAATTTCTTAAGGCTTAAGGTACCAATTTAAGTTGTAATTTCTAGCCTTAAGTAAATTGGGTAATTCCGATCACGTTAAATAAGCACTTTAAACCTTAAGCATTAAGAAACTGACCAATCACAATCAGAATTAAGGAGAACATTCGACTGTAATTGGTCAATTTCTTAAAGCTTAAATTATCTGTTGCAGACTAAGCCTTAAAGGTGTGTGCTTGAAGCCTGCCTCATATTTAGGTTCAAACTTTAAGTCAGATCCGTGAATCTCCCAATCGAAGAATATGCGTGTGATTGTAAATTTGTAAACTTAACTGGAAAACTCGCGTCCAAACCTGAACTCAAAATGTATCTCACTTGAAATTTATCCCAAATCAGACGCTTGGATTTCAATCGAGAGTCTCACCGAAATTTCTCAGCCAAATTATATGTGTAATTTCATTATATTATCTGTAACTTTGTACATATTCCATTGTATAGATGCAATTGGGTCCAAAATATATCTTACTTAAAACTTGCCTCAAATGAGATATGTGGATTTCAATTGAGAGACCATTTCAGATCTGGGCTTTTCAGCCAGATTATATAATATACGAGACATCATGTCTATAATTTCTTTATACAGTGTTATGTGCAATTCTGTAGGTTTAACCAAAAACTCACATCTAATTCCAAGTTCAAGATATTTTCCTTGGAACTTGCTCAGATGACACGCTCAAATTTGAATTTAGAATGAAATGTGAGTTTCTCTCAGTCGTATCATAATTACAATCGCAATGTTGTATATTATTATTATTTTCAACTTTATCTCAAAGACAATAGACGAGGCATTAGCGAAGAGATTGACTGCTTCTTCTCACTCGAATAATAATTCAACTAAATAGAATAATTCAACTGAAAAGCTCAAATCTAACTCTAAATTCAGGCCCAAGGGTAGTAAATATTTAAATAGAGGTACTTGAGGCAAGTCTCTAGCAATAACAACAACTGTTAATACAAACTTCGAAGCTATAGATTTTTCAACATACAACACATATGACATTAGATTCGCAATTGCGATTCCGCTGAGAAACTTACAATTTTAATCTAATTCTAACCTAATTCTAATCTAATTCTAACAAGTCCGAGTTGGATGAATTAATCTTTCTTTTAGATTAAGTTAATTTTAAAGTTAATGACTCATAAATTAACTAAGTTTACGTTAAAATTTACTTAAACAACTGACTTGATTAAAAGTTCAGTTAAAAAATTAAATCATCTCACCAAAATTAAGAGTTAACTATGCGGAACTAAATATGTTTTTTACATAATTGTCTTACATAATCTTTTAATATCTTTTATATAATCTTTTACATAATCTTTACATAATCTTTTAATTGTACAATAATCTTTTAATTGTACAAATTGCAAATGTAGGTAAAATAATAAAAAGGTAATATGATATTTTATCAAAGAGATAATGTATTTCCTCGTTTTTAATAACTTACATTGTTTAAAAGATACAATAATATTGTAATAGAAAGATCAGAGTGTTTAAAAATAAAGCTATTAAAAACAATGGAAGGCAAGATACGTACTTACATAATATTAGATTATTAAATATGAAATGTCTGATTTCGAACCAAAAGTTTGGTTTATTATGTCTCAAACTAGTAGAAGTAGTACAACTATTCAAAGTATGAGCCTAAATTGTCGACACAATTTTGCCATCTTAACGGTAGCTTATTTATGCCAGCAGCGAAGAAACCTGAAGAGCGACTAGCGATGAAATTGCGGAAGGCGTTTCTCACAGCTTGTTGAGAATTGAATATTTTTCCTTGCAAGAAATAGTCCAGTGCCTGGAAGAAATGGTAGTTAGTTGGCGCAAGATCTGGTGAATACGGCGGGTGACCGAGAAAGTTTCCAAGTCCAGCTCCTGTAATTTGAGCAGCGTTGTTTGTGCGACGTGTGGTCGAGCGTTGTTTTGCGAGAGGATCGACCTGTCTCTATTGACCAATCTCGGCTGCTTAATCGCAAGCATCCTCATCATTTCGTCCAGTTAGTTACAGTAGACATCCGCTGTAATCGTTTGACCAGGTTTCATGAAGCTGTAGTGAATAATACCAGCGCTGAACCACCAAACACACACCATTAGCTTTTTTTGGTGAATATCCGGTTTCGGACCGTGTTTCGACACTTCATCTATATCCGACCATTGTGCCGAATGCGATTATCGAAAAGAATCCATTTTTGATCACACGTAACAATACGATGTAAACATGGTTCGTCTTTATGCCGTGATAGTAAAGAAAGGCAAGCTTCGAGACGACTTCTCTTCTGACGCTCGTTTAATTCATGCGGAATCCTTCTATCCAGCTTCTTTACCTTGTCGATTTATTCCAAATGGTCCAGTATTGTCGGAATAGTAACGTTAAACCTTGCTGCTAATTCACGCGTAGTTTGAGATGTATCCGCCTCCACTATAGCTTTTAACTTATCATTATCCACCTTGGCCTCAGGTCGCACTCACGTGACACATTTTCAAGCTTAAAATCGCCAGAACGAAATTTCTCAAAGCATCGACGTATCGTGCGTTCATTAGCCACATCTTCACCAAACACTATATTGATATTTCGTGTCATCTGCGCTGCATTGGTTCCACGACGGAACTCATATTCGAAAATAACACGAACTTTCGATTTATCCATGGTCACACAAAGATTGCTGTAATAAAGACAACTCGACAGATAATCACAAACTAAGACATGCGTTTGAAAGAGTGATGGTGTACCTTCACAACAAAAGAATAAACCGAAAACTGTGAAAGCGAAATGTCAGAGAGATATCGACCGTCGAACTTAGTACTTGAGGAAATCGGACATTTTCTATTTAATTACCTGATAACTTTTTAACTTAACTTTTACTAGATTGACTGGTTACCACCCGACTCTGCAGTCCGGATACCTCGTCCGAGAGGCGACTATTGATACGAGCTTATGCGACTTGAAAGGACGGCGAGAGGCCCGCCTTTCCGCGTCTGAACGCGTCGGCTATTTCGCGATCCTGCCGGACGGCGAGAATAGAAGATGGTAATCGTCTTCATCGGAATGTTGCAGATTCGCGATAACGCGGACGAGTTCCGCGATCGTCGGGCTCCTTGTGCTGCTGGCAACGGCCTGCTGCGACGGACTGCAGTATCAGCCTCTTGACGCTTATGTAAACGGCGAGGATTGCGCCTTGATCCTGGACTCTCGTGGAAGAACCAGCGTTTACGACTATACCTATAATTTGCTGCGCGGCTCGTTGTAAGTACTCACATTAGAATCGAATATGAATTCACGCAACGACGGCTATCTTAATTTAGCGAAAGCTCAACGCGTAGGCGGACGGCCGAGTCCGGTTTCTCCCGATTGACCGAGGTTAACTTTCGGCTTTAAGCTTCGACGCGGAATCAGCGAATCGCGTGGATTTCCCCGATTCTCGATAAATTGTACCTTTGGCACCCTTCACCGTTATACTTCACGCGAGCATCGGCTCCGCTAGATTCAACCGTCCCTCGATTACACACGCGGAGGATTTTATAGGAGAAATTATCGCAGAAAGTTGTTGTTTAGAGATTATTTTCCAATCGAGGAGCGCACAGACGATAATCGATAATCCGCTTTAATTTATTATTCCGCTTCGTGATATTTACATTTTAGCAACTTTACAAACCGGCGTCTCATTCTTTTAATTTTATTATAACTGGCAATTTTATTTTCCATTGTGATCGTCATGCTTGTCGACTTTACTTTATAATGACGATAAAAACTTGCAAATTTATATTCCAGGAAAAATTTCGCTATTAACAAATTTATTGTTTCTTAGCGAGACAAACTTCGTTGATAGTCTATTCCTGCGTTGTTAGTACTATTACTAAGTAATTGCGGATTTCACTGGATGGATAGCGTTAGTTAAATTTTTAGGTATATTTATGTATTCGAAATGTCAAACCCATATTGTTATTTGATAGTTGGAATTTCAATTAGCATTCAATAAAAAAATTGTATCGATCGGTTGTATAGCTTTTGTTTGGCGTCGGTTGAAAATGGGAAAGCAAAACGAGCATTTTAGTCATGTTTTGCTTTTTTACTTTCGCAAAGGAAAAAACGCATCGCAAACTCACAAAAAGTTATGTGCTGTGTATGGTGACGAAGCCTTAAAAACACGGCAGTATCAAAATTGGTTTGCTAAATTTCGTTCGGGTGATTTTTCACTCAAAGATGAACAACGCTTTGGTCGTCCAGATGAAGTTGATGACGACCAAATCAAAGCAATAATCGATGCGGATCGTCATAGCACAACACGTGAGATTGCAGAGAAATTCGATGTATCACATACATGCATTGAAAAGCGTTTAACAACTTGACTACGTAAAAAAACTCGATTTATGGATTCTTCATGAACTTAAAGAAATTCACTTAACACAACGCATTGCCATCCGCGATTTGCTAATGAAACGTAACGAAAATGATCCATTTTTGAAACGATTGACAATTGGCGATGAAAAATGGGTTGTTTACAATAATGTCAATCGAGAAAGATCGTGGAGCAAGCAAAATGAACCGGCGCAAACAACATCCAAAATTGATATTCATAAAGAAAAACTCATGTTATCAGTTTGGTGGGATTACAAAGGAATTGTCTACTTTGAAACTTTACCACGCAACCAAACGATCAATTCAGATGTATATATTCAACAACTAAGCAAACTGAACAATGCAATTCAAGAAAAGCGACCAGAATTGGGAAATCGAAAAAGTATTGTGTTCTACCATGGCAATGCAAGGCCATACACATCTTTGGTCACTCGGCGAAAATTATTGGAGCTTGGTTGAAATGTGTTGCCACATCCACCGTACCAGTTCTGACCTTGCAACATTAGATTATTATTATTTATTCCGTTCTTTGCAAAACTTCTTGAATGGTAAAAATTTCAACAATGATGATGATGTCAAATCGCACTTAGTTCAGTTTTTTGCCGATAAAAACCAAAAGTTTTATGAACGTGGAATTATGATGCTGCCTGAAAGATGGCAGAAGGTCATTGATAAAAATAGATAATACATCACTGCATAAAGTTATTTCGTTTCATGAAAAGATTGTCTTTTATTTTCTCAAAAAGAAATCCGCAATTACTTAGTTGCCAAACCAACAGGTCAGTATGACAGGTTGCCTTTTAGCTTTTCTCGGCAACATCCGCATTATCGCCCGAATAGAGACAGGCAACCCGTCGTACTGACCTACATCTTGACGTTACATCCTGTATAGTAGTCTATAGAATTGATTTGCAAAATCCTGCGCCGATTTAGACGGCGCGGGAGAAGCCCAACGCGAAGAACGCCGATATGGACAATTGTGTCTATCCACCCGGGCCCGAATATTATTTCACGGAGAGACGGAGCACGGCGAGAGATCCCTGTTGCGCAGAGAGCGGGTTAATTGCGCTCACAATGGGTTAATTGCGCTATTGTTAGAGAGCGCGCACGATTTGAATTTAGCGGTGCCGCGCTGTTTGTTTACGGTAATCTTACGGCGCGAGAAACGAGAGACAGAGAGAGAGAGAGAGAGAGAGAGAGAGTAGCAGACGAGAGAGAGGGTGGGGAAGGCGCAACGAAGGGAAGAAAGAACGGAAGAACAGGAGAGAGGAGGAAGGCAACGCGCGTTCCGCGAGCGAGGAGTTCGCGGCCTTTGACCCGATATACACGCGGGGCCTCGAGAACGGCCATTTATTTATCATCTCTCGTCTATCAACGCGCTACATCGTACGGCGCGAGCAGGAAACACACATATCTCGCTACATTGTGCATCGCCGGAGCGCGCGCGCGTTTACGTAATGGAGTAAATCCTCAGCCGACGTTCTAGAGGATTAGAGAAAGCAGGAACTTTGCTCGCGCGGTCCACGCAGGACTTTCACTATCGTCCTGTTCCCGCAGGACCAGTGGGTGCTGGACCGATACCGGAGCTTACCGGTTCTCACCGTGCGACCGCGCGCCTTATTAACGCGCGACATTCCGCCGCGAGTCTGAGCGGATAAACTCGACTCGGCTGGCGTATTGTATTGCCGGCCGCCTCGTAAAATTCGCCCCGCCCGTCGCTTTTCCTTCTCTACCTTTTTCAACGGTTTTTTCGCCGAGGCAGATCGCGCTTACGGTGCGATCGAGCTGGCGTAAACAAGCCGCGAGTAACTGGCTGTCGAAGGCTGCCCGTCGTCGCCGTCGTCGTCGTCGTCATCGTCATGATCGCGTGGAACGCACTTGAAATCTTCGCGAATTTCGAGCATCTCGTGCGTAACGTAACGCCGAGACCGGTGATTAAGGCGCCATTTTCGCTGTTCGACAATCAACGACCGCAGACGATCGTGAGGTCTCAACGCTCGCGCGCTTCTGCGCGAAATCTCCTTGAAAGAGTGTCAAATTTGCCGGGGGGGGATTACAGCGGACAGACGGGGAATTACGGGCGAGATTGTTATTACGAGGTTCAATTGCGAGGTTAATGCGCACGCTCGTATATTAACGTGTATTACAGCCTGTCAGTGGCGAAAAGTCAACGGAACAGAAAATTGCAGAGTAGAAATTTCTTCGGGTTTTCCCAGGCGCGGCACAGGTTCCGATCGGAATCTCCAAACTTGACCCAAAATTGCTCAGCCGATAGCGATAGCGATAGCGGGGAAGTCCTATTTTTGCCCTAAACGCGAATTCTCCGTCTGGAATTGAAATACCGAGACTCGCGTTTTTTCCTCTCAGAGCTCTCTTCCTTCCAATTTCTATTTTATAGACATGTATGTTATTGACATGTATAGACATTTATAGACATTTTAAAGACATGTATGTATGTAAACAAACATACGATATTTAAAAAACGAAAGTACTCCCGAAGGTGTCTCGAGCATCTTGCTCAACTTCTTTTCATGTCGCATTAAAAGAAAAATGCTGAAAGACGCGAGCGGAACAAACCTTTTAGGTTAGTTTCTCATTTAGAATCATAACCTCATTTATTTGGAAAGTCGTGAAGTCTCCCTTAGAGCCATTCCCACAGAGGAGCTTGAACCTGCATGGGTTTCGGAAAAGACCGAACTGGATTCCAATTGGACCCCGAGAAATCTTCCACGGGGTCTCTTCGTTCCACGACACGCGACCGTGGACGTCGCTCGGCCCGGCCGAAACTGGGTTAAACCGCGTTGCAATTACGCGGCAAAGGAACGCGCCGCATTTCTCTGCCGGTCGCGCTGTCGTAATTGGCCATAACGCGGTATTCGCGGCTCGATTCGATCTACCTGATCTATCAGTCTATCGCGGCAGTGTTCGCATACACGTGAATACGCGAGCGGCGCGGTAACTGGCTAATCTAACTCGCGCGATCAAACCCGGCCGCGTGAGAATCTTGCCGCGGCTAATTGAGCCTTTTGGGGCGCGCCGCTAATGAACTACAAGGGGCTCGCGTTAAGACAAAACTGCTTTAAAGTAGATAAAAAAAAATATCCGCAGTAACGCTCCTCTAGTCCCGATGAGGATAAAACAAACTGGGCTTGTCGAGGAGATGCCATTTCGAATGACGAAGTCCAAAGGTGCCGCTAATATAGATGCCATCGTTCAAATATTAATTAATTAATTAATAAGCATACGCACACACACACATACACTCTCTCTCTTTTTCTATCACACAATCTTACTACTCTTTTCACACAGGTCACATATAAAATTTATACAATAAATAAAATAATAAAATTTAATGAAAAATAAAAATAATATTAGATCTAGTAGTTAATTCTTTCCGATGAAACTTACATAGCTCAGAGCAAAATTTGAAATTGAAATATTCTCCCGCTCTTTTGCGGTTTTAAAGTGTTGACACTTAACTTTTTGAGATGACATATGATTTATCGTTTGATACAACCTCAAATAATCAATAGTGTTCGCAATGGCTATCAACAAAGAGCATATTTGATGCACGATGCATTTCACATTTCATTTAAATAAAAACGATTCTGAAGCAGCGAAAATTATTTGTGCTGCTTATGGTGAAATTGCTGTGACCGATCGCACATGTCGAAACTGGTTTGAACGTTTTTGAAGTGGCAATTTTGATCTTCACGACCAACCACGCTCCGGTAGGCTAAAAATATTTGAAGACGAGGAGTTGCAAAATCTCTACTGGATGAAAATACGGCACAAATACAACAAGAACTTGCGGGAAAGCTAGAAGTAAACCAGGAAGCTATTTGCGATCGTTTACATTGTATCGGAAAGATACAGAAAGAAGGGAA